GGCCTAGCTAATTGTCATGGAAATGTCTGATTTTTTAAGTATTGTTGTTGTCTGATCTGTCCCTGTACCAGGCAGTCACGTGACTCGATTGGATATCCTTGTTTCTAAACAAGGGACCGAATGCTTCGGGAGATATATAAAACAAAAATGGCAGTCGGGATTCTCTCTTGTCAGCGGAAGATCTCGTAGACCCATCTTACGTGACACCATGAACGAAGATGAGCCTTGATGGAACTAGCAAAATAACAAATTCTTGATATCGAAGTGTCTATAATAATGGTGATATCCATCAGTCATGGTGCCATCTCCTCACCTCGATTCCCGGTGCCCGCCCTCCGGTGAACTGATTGAGCATGTCGGCCCACTGGCTGGAGCCTGAGGCACTACTTGACTGGCCGGACCTGCTTGTGTTTCCCCTCACGAGAATTGGGGTAAATGGAGTTGCTCACACTTATCTAGACCTTAGAGAAGCTGCAAGTTACAAGCCACAACTGATGTCTACTCCGTACTGATACTCTGTTTTGCGACATACTCCGCTGCGGGTGGAATTATTTCTTTTTTCGGAACGTACTTCATATTGCTCTTCTACAGCGTACGCGGGTCAGACCAGTCAACAGCTAGAAGAGCGAGGAGGACTGCCGAGCTGCTGTCGAGGGTCGGTAAAATTCCACCCTCAAAAGCCAGACCATCAATCGGGATGTTGCACCACTCCTGAGGAGATCCAGATCTATCCAGATAGGGCTGATACTTGTAAGTTGAGCTATGTGATATTGCAAGCGCGTACGTATTTAGGACCGTCTTCCCATGACAAACGTAGTACACCAACTTTCTTAAACACCTTAACAGATATTGAATCAATGAACAGTATTATCAGAAACGAGCAAATCGTGGCGTACGAGGAATCCTCTGGTCTTATGAGCTTCATGGTATATTCAGGTGGCCTATCGATGCTAAACCCATACATCAACCATCATTAAGAATTGCATATGATACTAGAAAGCGGGCGAGTATCCAAGACTCATCCCAACCTCACACCAGCTTGACGGTTTTTCCGAGCCGTGGCCCCCATAGCATTGGTCATGCCAGTGTGTTGGCTGCTGTCTAAAGCGCTCATGGCTTCGCGCTTCTTCTCCTCTTCAATCTTCTTCAACCGTTTCTCAGTCTTCATCCTACCGCTGCCCTTGCCGTGGAACTGGTGACTAAGATGCTTGAAAGCTTCCTTTTGGTTCATCAAGCGACCAAATTCGTCAACGTACTTGAGCTGTACGTCGGGCTTGTATTCACGGTTGAAGACTTCCGCCATGTGCCGTGCATCTTGCTGGTCACGTTGCTTGTTCTCCCACCGCGCGTATTCTTCACGCTCGCGGGCCGACATCCGATCGAGTTTACCGGAGGCTCGGTCCCGTTCACGCTGTTGCCGAGCCCGTTTCTCGGCCTCCGTTTCAAGATGAGTCTTGTCGTGCAGGAAACGCTGGCGAGCCCGCAGGAGCGCGTTGTGCTCAACAGCATCGGAGGGTTTGACCAGTCCGCGCTGCTTGAGCATATTCAATGTGGCACCAAGCCCTTGATCCAATGTAGTTTCTTCCTCCAGCCCAGTTCCGGAGATTTGCTGGAGCTGAGATTCTTCCCTCTTGATGCGTTCCTTGAGATCTTCTTCATCTTCAATATCATTGTACGAACGCTCCATATCCACATCAGCGTCATCGTCGGCCGGTTCTTCCTTGATACTCTCGGCCGGTTCTTCCTTGACACTCTCGGCAGGTGTAGTTGTTCGTCGTCTCTCGCGGCGCTCTGGAAGGGTCGGCTTCTGAAGATTGGAAACAAATTCTGATGTCTCATCTAGGACCAAGCCAGGCTCTTCAGTCTCTTCATTCTCCGCCTCCATTGGCGTTTGCGACTCCTCTCTGAGCTGTCGTGCGATATCCTCGGGGCGCACTTTCTGCCGCTTTTTGAACGCGGCCCTTCTCTGGCGCGTAAGAGAGGCTTGTAAATCGTCATCGTCGACAAAAGATACGTTCTCACTGCTCTCCCATTTTCGAGGAGCTGGCGCGGGCACTCCGTTGCTGGCATCGACTTCCATAGCCCCGTTCTGCGTCGACTCAGTTGTAGGAAATATATCATCTTCGTCAATCACTCTCTGTCTGGTCGCCTTGACCTTCTTTTTCTTCGGCTTCTTGATTTTGATCTCGCTCACATCCATGTAATCAGAAACTGGAGTCGTCTCAATCGCACCAAGGTCGAGGCTGACAAGATTCTGCTTGAGCCTGTCAGATACCTCTTGTCGCTTGGCCTCTCGTTCTTCAACTGTAGACCCTTGAGAGTCAAGCGTGAAGCGTTTCCGCTTCTTGCCTTCAATCTCTTCGTCGTATTGCGCGAGTATGCCGGTATTCTCTTCGGTAGGATCGTAAACAGGTTTCCGCTTTTTTAATTCCAGCCTTTCCGCCACCTTCTCCTTTTCTCTGAGACTGACGTCCTCCAGCTCATCGCCCTCCTCCTCGTTCTCATCTATAGTCGTATCTTTGAGGGTAAGAACATGTTCTTCTCCTTCTTCGAACTCGCCAACCTCATGCCCAACTTTCAGCCCAGCCAGATCCGCCGTGGAGTATTCCGCAGCACGTTCACGCTCCTCTAGTTCTCGAGCGAGTTTGAGGGCGCGTTCCTTTTCGATCTTCTTCTGTCGCTTCTTCGCCTGCAGCAACCAGGCCTTCGTGTCCATATCCACATCGCCAGACTCTCCTAGCGTAGGGCCTTCGAGCATCCGATCGCGCTGAGCAGCATCACGAGCCTTCTTGATCGCAGCATTTTTAGCCTCTCGTCTCCGTTTCGCCTCAGCCTCCTCTTGAAGTTTCTTCCAGTTCTCCGAAGCAAGCGCTTGCCGCGATTCGAGAGTGCTTCCGAGATCTTCTTCAGATGCAGAGCCCTCTCTTGTTTCTTTAAACACCGGACCAGAGGTGGCGTCAGCACCAGGGACGGGGAGGGGTTTGAGCCCAAGGGCGACTCGGATTTTGTTGTTCTGCTCAATGGAAAGAGCGTCCGCCATCCTGGACGATGTAAAAATCAAGTAGTATCAGACTCAGCCAGGAAGTGTGTTGGTGATGTCAGGTCTCGCAGACTGGCATGGATGGTCGGCTTGACTGTTGATAGATTGCCTCCAACCTCCAACCGCAGGCCTTGAGTTCCATTGCCATTACATAATCACGTCCAGTCTCGGTAAGGCTTAGCGCAGCAAAATCTTAGCGCGCACTTGGCGCCAACATAAAAGGCCAGGATTTTTCCAAGCCTTCTCTTCTCTTTTTCTTCTTTTCCTCACCAATTGAACATACACGGATCTGTGTCCAGCGATCCTGAGCATGGAGCTGTTCCTCTTCACGGAGGGGCTGCCTCTGTGTCTCGGTTGATTGCTGGACAGTTCGACGACTTAAGGAGCCATCCCCTCGTGGATGGTTTTTATTTCCGGTCGACAGATCTCAGATCGAATGCTGGCATTAGGTATCACTCGGTCTTGAGCTCCCGCATAGGTGAGCTCGGCTGAGGGCCTAGTAGCTAGCGGCGTCATATTCCTGATCCCTTTACCGATTTGGCCGTCGGCTTGTGAGGTTGGGGAAAAACCATGACTAGCCAACATACCTTTTCCTATATCTTTTTTTTATAGCGCAGTATTTGTAGGATCTGTGTAGATTGAATGAACCACAAGCGATGGTCTCGTAGATACCTACGAAACTGGCCTCGCCTGGATCGTATATCGCGATATACTCTGTCCATTCCAGAAACTGGCTGGTTGAAGCGTTCGCGCATTCTACAATCACATACATACATTCGTCCCATTATCGCCATCGGCATTTACAGCAGCTTTAGATGCCCCGTTACTTGATCCACCACACTCTTTGGTCCCAAAACTCCAAGTACCGTCCTGCTTCCGCTGGCGATCTGTGTCCGCCCAGCATCCTGGATCACGCGAGCGCAGAGACCCAAGCTCATCGCCTGTGCTTGCAGCAACTGTAATTCCTCCTCCGACTTTGTCTGTAATGCGATCTTTGCTTGTCCCTGTTGTTCCCATCTCCGCAGGATAGGTGACTGCGGGTTATGCGCAATGAGGTATTTGTAGCAGGCGAGCGTTGCATGCGAGCACTGAGCGGCTATTTTGCCTATGTTAAGCGTGTCGTGTTAGCTGTATTCACTTCGACAACTCATGCGCTGGATCTCAAAAGCCCAGCCTAGGAAGGGAAGCATAAGGAAAGGATTTACCCTTGGTCATGCCCAGGTCCGTCCTCACAACCAGCACAAGCTTCACTTCCTCGTCGTTGTTGTCGAAATTGGCCAGCTCGCCACCATCGCCTTCCTCCTCGCTATCATCTTCGTAGTCTTCGTCCTCTTCGTCGGAGGAATGCTGCGGAACCTTCACATTGTAGCTGTTGGGCCAGCCTTCCTTCTCTTTTGCCGAGGAAAATAATCCCAATGAGGCGCCCTGTCCAATAAAATAACCAGTGATGCCAGCGAGAATAGCCGTAGCTATCACGTATGCTGTGGTGGAAGGAGGAATCCGGTCTAACTCGGCCATCTTTTTTATTTTTGGAAGTGCAAGAGTGGAAGAAGCTGTTCGGGTATTTTCCATCAATGTTCTAGCTGGTCCTAGTGGTAAACTAAGATCCGATCTGAGCTCGGGCAGCCGCCACAGCTCTTCTCGATCAGTCAACTACTTCCATACGGTACCTTCAAAGTCGACATATTTTAAAACAATCTATCCCACGATCTAAAGGCATGTAATAAAGTTCTCTAATCGAGATCCCATTTAAAGCAAATAGTAATGAATCGATGACATTTCCCCTCCACCTAACCAGCTTTAACCATCAGCATAGCACAAAGGAAGCTGGAGGCTGTTGAAATGCACCGACAAGATCCAAAGCAGCATAACCAAGATTATAATTTCCCAGAAGACACTGCTATTGCATTATATATACATTCCCGACAGTGCTGAGATTAGAGAACATCACCGTCATCTTCTAGTTAGGGCGAGGTCCCGTGTTGCCCATTCGGCGGCTCCTGTTTGGGATTAGCTAAACCAGAACAATGGTGAGAAAAGGAAGAATTGATACTTACATCAGGGTTCGACTAGCAAAGCTGATGAAGATCATGAAGAGCCAACTGGGGATAACGCTGAAACCGTGGATGATATAACCCACGGGAACAAGAAGGTTGTTCTGGGCTAACCAGCCGTCCGTTGGGTGGAGGGCACCTTCGTAAGCGGGTTCCTTTTTGTAGGTCTTCTCGGAATGAACCTTGTAGATGTCCTGGGCCGTCACAGTGGTCGTGTTCAGATACACGATGTGGAGAGGCGTCGCAGCACGACCCTCGCCAAGCTGAGCTTGAGGAACCTCGAAGTACCAAACGGACGGGGCGCCTGCAGACCATGTGGAGCACAGGAGCTGGTCCGATTCGCAGTTCAGATAACCAAGATTAGGGGAGGTAGGGTCTGCKGAGAACAGGAGGAGAGATTCCTTCAAAGTAAAGATGATTAGCCATAGGTTCTCAGGGTACTCGCATCTTCCACTACCCCTGTCTGAGGTCCTTACATTGAAAGCTTTGTCCGCGTTTCCGCAACGACCGAAACATGTCTTGTTACCGCCAGTAATGTACAGCAGCCAGTCTTGGGGCTCGGAAGATGGCTCCAAGTTAGACTGCCAGTTGCCCATATTAAAAGGGGTGACCGTAACAGCCTTCTGTTGGACCTTCTGCTCGACGACCTTATCGACCGTAGGAACGACAGGAGTCGCAGTTGGCAGGTAAGACTTGGCCTTGTTGAACCATCCCTGAACACGATCCGCAAGGGGAACCTGTTCTTGCGCCGCAGCAAGGGCTGGGAGGATAACGAGAACTTGAATGAATCGCATGGTGCAGCTAGCAGTCATGACGCGTGTCAGCAACAGTCGGAAGACGTGCTACCTATAGAGCATCCTCTATTTTGAAATCAAACGAACCTGAACTGGTTACAATGACGATAAGCGCACTTTGGGATTGAATGGACGGTTTGAAAGGCCAAAGTACGGACAGCAGGTAGCTAGGAAGGCGGGCTCCTGAGTTGTGAAGGAAGTGAAACAGCCACGATGGATGAAAGTGACTTAGTCTCCGCGATTGGCGACAGCTGGCCTAAGCGTCGGGAGAGCCAACTTATCAATGTTAGCGGGGGACCAGCTTTCCGGAGCAGTTAACTAGATGGTGTAAAGCGCAAAAGATTTGATTTGGTTGACGAAATGTTTAATGGCATCATTTATTGTGCCAGATATAAAGTCAGACCAACTGGAAAAAGATGTCTTTACATCACTGTCGCAAGAACTTTCCTGTTTGTTTATATAATGTTTTAGGGATGCCATTATGTCACCCTGATATAGTTCGCTTCTTTCGATCCTACCAACAAGATCGTCTCTTTCTCGACGTTCATGACCCAGCAGGAGTTTGAGACGGTAATGACTTTCAACACAGGAGTCGCTGGATATCTGGGCTAGATTCTTAGGAAAGCTCCAGATCGAAGGAGTCTGATGTTCTCCCTTGTACCTGATGACTTCTTTCATCTTTTGAATCTGCTGAGCCGATGTCGATTGGACGTGGCTTCCAAAAATGGCAGCGTTCAGCTCATGTAGTAGCTTCTCCTTAAGTTCTCGCAATAGAACTGCATTGATTGCCTCGTCCTCACAAAACCTTTGTGTCTCAGAGGGGCCTTCTAGCCATTGACATTGCATCTCAGAATCATAGTTTTTATCAGACGCATCCCGTATCCACCACAGAGTCAAAAGTATTGATCTGCACCAGACTATCATCTAAGGATCCATCGACAAATACGGAGATGTGGTGTCGTCTTCTTCCCACTTCAGCCCCGATGGCCTGGTGGCTCATGGTAGCGACCTTGATGGGCCACAGCTTTGGTGCTGCGCTAGGAAGAGGAGCGGATTCCTTGATTCCTCATGGTGAGTGGCTACGTTATACCCATCAGATATATGCCAATGCTTTATGTAGCTCACAAACATTCTCAAGCCACTTCGACTCTATTGAACGGGGCTCCTTCACAAGAGTCGCGCAACACTACAAATACCTCGTCATTCCAAGGCGACTTCCCTATCTGTACCGATTTCAATGGTCCAATAGCGCCTTTTTGTCTCCCTAAGGATGGTGCAGATGTTACAGTTGACGCGACGTACTATGTCACATGGAATGCCGACTTCTACCCTCTGAACGCGACGATCACAATCGAGTTGAGATACGCAAACTCTTCTCAGGGAGAGTCGGCATTCACGTCTGAGAAGACTGATAACAGTTACGGCTACATTTCGCTTCCTATGCAGAAGGAATGGCTCCAAGGAAAGCCTTTCAATGCTCTGACACTCTATATCATCGAGCTGGACCCTACGTCGGGTAGCCGAGCTAGTGCCCGGCAAGGCCCAACTGTCATACTCCATCCTAAGCCGATTGAACACTACAAGCCTTCCCCTCAGATACCCTTTAACAGGACGGCTCTGTATATCGGACTTCCAGTAAGCCTTGGTGTCGTCATTGCTGTTGTTGCGGGCCTGGCTTTTGGCATGCGTAAAAGCAGGAGGACTGGACTGAGAGACGTCGTGAGTGCCCGAGGAAGGGGCTACGGAATTGGGAAATCCAAGAACCAACGTCTTGGGAACAAAAGGGGGATTAATGGGCCGGATTCTTTTGCAGCCTTGAATAAATACAGAGAGGACTCTGGTGAAGGGTTCTCCGAATTCGAGGGTGCGGAGAAGTCTCACGGACTCGAGCGCAGCGGCAGCTTTGCGTGTAGACAAGAGGTGTCAAGGCTGAAGACATGGAGCAGTTGAAGGGGACTCGAGTTCTCCCTATTCCGCCTTGTATAGGGAGGGCAATGGGTAGCAAGAGGTGTCGTATCTTCATTTACCTTCGTCTTGACTGTACGGTTCTGAAAGGATTTGTTCACTTTGATGCCTCACAGTAGTTTTCAAGGGACTCAGGTTCGAAAGTTTTATCAAGCGATGGCTGGCGTATTTTTACCGGGCAGGGCTGATTCTGTCGCTGTGTTGCTTGAACGGGTGATTATTGTATGACAATACTTTGTCTCTTCATCCTGCTCATCATGCACATCTACAAGGACAGTGAGAACTCCAACTACCTCTCTATTTGTGACAGGTGGCATTCAGATGGTCATATGCAACAGTAGAAAATATGATGGCTTCATGATACATGAAACAAATGGTGTAGTGCGGTCTCGGCCAAGTAGGAGAATCCTCTAAAGTACTGCATGCTTTGTCCAGTTTGCAGACTGCAGCCGCGAATAGATACTCTTTCAGTGGATCTCGGTATCTATGAGGGAGAATAATGACTGTGAAATAAGAGTCTCTGAAGTCTGTACTGTATACATCTCTACATCGAGGTCCTGAATCTCTGTGATTATCAATTATTTCTCTTCTAGATTGTTTTTTCTTTTTGTTTTTTGCCTAAATGGAAGTTCGATGCTTGGTCAGAATGAATTCCTGTAACCTTTGTTCGCTCGCAGCCGAAACCCTCCAATCATGCTGTTCTCAGTTCAAATTACCTAGGCCGATGTCGGGCTAGGCACTCCGCACCTCGACTTGCTGCTCTTCAGTACGAACATTATTTCCTTTCCACACACCAGGAAATCAAACAGATGATGTTAATTCAACATGAGGCTAATTTCTGCCGAATAGATGATCCATCGCTTCAGTCAAGAGACATGTGGCGACATACGTACATTCCGTCCAAGGCTTGCCTCTTATGTACCTTGTCGATAAGCTGATTTGCGAGCAATAATATTACCACCAAGTAATGAGTAATCAATGGGGAAAGATCTTCGACTGATGGAGCAATCAGGATTCCGGTTGCGCTGGGAGAAGCAAAATGCAGAAAAGCATTGGTCTGGCGGAGAAAATCCCCACACAAGACCATATTCAGGATCTCAGATAACCACAGATATCATACTAACGGAGTATACGGAGTAGTCGTTTTGAGTTCTCTCCAAGCTCGGCCCTGTAAAATTTTCTTCGTTGCCGCTCAAAGTGCCCAGCGAGTCCGAGTCCGCTTCCCCCTCCGAGTCATAGTCCTTTGCAGACCGCCCGCCTCATAGACTCCACCCACTTTCTCTCTTCAGCGTATGACTCTTACCTCCTACTACACATATAAACCCTGAAATTCTTTGAACATCACCAGTGTCAGTCTCTTGATTTCCATCCCATTGCACTTATTGTCAATTGTTACCTAACCTTCGATCCGTTATACAGCCAGTCTCGTTCACTCCGACATTGTAATAGAAATCACCCCGCTCTCAATCTACAAGATGTGCCCCGGTGCAGACAATGAGCCCAATGGGCACACCAACGGCGCCAATGGCACCGGTATTTTTCACCTGGACACAGAAATATCGTGCCTGATCCGGACTAATCTTCCTTCTCCCCAGATGCTCACCCCGGCTTCACTGCCGTCGAGACCCGTCAAAACCCTCACCCTTCGGCTTCTCGCAACCCTTACGGCCACAACGTCGGCGTGACCGACTTCCTGAGCAATGTCTCTCGTTTCAAGATCATTGAGAGTACCCTTCGTGAAGGTGAACAGTTCGCCAACGCCTTCTTTGACACCGAGAAGAAGATTGAAATTGCCAAGGCTCTGGATGACTTTGGTGTTGACTACGTGAGTCATAGCCAGCTGGAGTCGACATGTTGCTGGGAGACGTGTATTGACCAAGACGTGCAATATAGATTGAGCTCACCAGTCCCTGTGCTTCCGAGCAGTCAAGAAAGGACTGCGAGGCGATCTGCAAGCTTGGCCTGAAGGCCAAGGTACGTTCGCTACCCTGAATCCGGATCTCAACTCGCATTAGTTCTAAAGTGTCATTGTCACAGATCCTCACACACATCAGATGTCACATGGACGACGCCAGGGTTGCCGTCGAGACTGGTGTTGACGGAGTGTAAGTGGGCCTACCATGATTGATAATCATGGCTGAAATCTCACTTTCTCAATACAGTGACGTCGTTATCGGAACCTCATCCTATCTCCGGGACCACTCCCACGGCAAAGACATGACCTATATCAAGAACACCGCTATTGAAGTCATCGAATTTGTCAAGTCCAAGGGCATTGAGATCCGGTTCTCCAGCGAGGATTCGTTCCGTTCTGACCTCGTTGACCTCCTGTCCATTTACTCCGCTGTCGACAAGGTCGGCGTTAACCGTGTTGGTATCGCCGACACTGTCGGTTGCGCTTCTCCCCGCCAGGTTTACGAACTCGTCCGTGTTTTGAGAGGTGTTGTTAGCTGTGACATTGAAACTCACTTCCACAATGACACCGGGTGTGCCATCGCCAACGCTTACTGCGCCTTGGAGGCTGGTGCCACTCACATTGATACCTCTGTCCTTGGTATCGGTGAGCGTAACGGTATCACTCCCCTTGGTGGTCTCATGGCTCGTATGATGGTGGCCGACCCCGAGTACGTCAAGGGCAAGTACAAGCTCGAGAAGCTCAAGGACATTGAGGATCTTGTTGCCGCTGCCGTTGAAGTCAACATTCCCTTCAACAACTACATCACTGGTTTCTGCGCTTTCACCCACAAGGCCGGTATCCACGCCAAGGCCATCCTCAACAACCCCAGCACATACGAGATTATCAACCCTGCCGATTTCGGTATGACCAGATACGTTCACTTCGCTTCGCGCTTGACGGGCTGGAACGCTATCAAGTCTCGTGCTCAGCAGCTCAAGATTGAGATGAGCGATGCTCAGTACAAGGAGTGCACTGCCAAGATCAAGGCTCTTGCTGATATCCGTCCCATTGCCGTTGATGACGCTGACAGCATCATCCGTGCCTACTACCGCAACCTCAAGTCAGGCGAGAACAAGCCTCTTCTTGACCTCACAGC